AAGGGTCAATAATGAGTTTATTTACAAAGGGAAAGAAAAGAGAAAGAGAGAGATACCAATTAACTAGTGCATCCTACCAGTTCCACTGACTTGGAAACCCAATAGCACACTGAAAGCTGATCAAGAGTCAAGAGACCATCCACCAGCCCCGAGGCCAAGGGAGAGCGACCCTCAGCAAAACATGGCTCCTTTATATATATATATAAGACTCAAAAGACTCAAAATTGCTGCTTAGCTCCATCCTTGGGTCCCTGCAGTCCTCCCTTTGGTGTTGCTGAGAGTTGTAGTTTTAGTGACTGGAGTAGAGGGTGGAGCTATAATTTCAATGACTGGAGTAGGGGATGGAGTCCACAGAACCTGTATCTACAGAATTCGTTCAGGACATCCTTTCCCCACTAACATCCTCACCAACTACAGCAGCATGGCTGAAGGGTGGGAGCTAAGACCTATCCTGCCCCACATCTCACCAACTTTCCCTATAGCAAGCCTGTCCCGAGACACTGGTGACCCCGATGGGTTGGCTAAGTCATGGCAGATTGCACAGCAGTCTAGAACTCTTCCATTCTTCCTCCTTCCTCCCCACCATTCTTCCAGAGTTTGACAGCTCCTAGACTCCCTAGCCATGGACTCACACAGGCTTTGCCCCTAACAAAATCTCTGCCCTGTTCAATTTCTTCCTGGAGTCTGCTTCTCACAGGACCCAGGGCATGTGTCCTCGGAAGTGGTTCAGGCTGAGAATAAAGATCCTGACATAGAAACATTCACTCAGACATGCATGCCTGACTTGTGTGTTCTTGATAGTTGGCTTAAGTACTTCTGTGTAGGTAGCTAGACTGAGCACATACTATCAGGGCGCATGTGAAACTAGATGAGGGGTATGTCCATGGCACATGCTCTACTAGCTTTCCCCACTCTTGAATATTATGGCATCATGAGATACAGGAGGAGGAATATCACTAGAGGCAACAGTGGGGCTGAAAATGTAGAGATATAGGTTGGGAAAAATGGAATAGTTCCAAGAAATAGGAAAGAATGCTTGTGATTAAGATGGGGGTGTAAAAGTAATTCCAAGAATTTTTAAATAATGTTAAAAAATTGTGTTTCGGTGTTCAACTTTTAGGATATCATTGGTTTCAAAGCACCTCATATTGTCTTACCCAAAAGGATTTCTTTAATCTACCAATGAATTTATTATTATTATATTATTATTATTATTATTCTACCAATACATATATGACTTTTACAGCTGAAGTTTCTAGTCTATAGAGGCATCTTATCCATTCTTTATAACACATGCTGGTAGTAAAAAACTCAATATTTATATGATGCTGGTTACACTCTAAATTCTGTTCATTTTCCACTTCTAATTGTACCATTTTATTAATTGCAATGTGTTTGAATTCTGCAATGAAAAGTAAGTCAATTGTTACTCTAATTACAAGGGGATGTTTCAAACCATCCTCTTGATTGCAAATGAATGAATTGTATGCTGTCATTAGAGACACCTTGCATATTTTAAAGAGTAGAAATATGGCTGATGGTGGAAAATAGGACAGGATTTTCACATAAAATCCAAGACCACATTACCCAACTTCATTATCTTTAAACTAAACTAATTCTTCAATAGTTTTCTGTCAAGACAGAAACATTTTGTAAAGACTTAAATATTCACATATGCCATTAAATTATAAAGAATATGGGCAGCTTTTAAATAAAGGTTAAGCTTTGGTGCAAAGAAGTTGTATATTTGAGCCATTATCAGGAAAGTTGACACATTTATTCTAGTGTTGTCACAGTTCAAACATTTTAAAATTATTGATAGACTTTGAAAAAACTTTAACTGCGAACCTCCCTGGTGGTGCTGCGGTAAAGCAGAGTACTGCAAGCTGGCCACAGCCAGTTCTTGAATGAAACTTCAGCGCAAGTTCGATCCCTGGCCCCGGAGGTGACCTACATGGCACAGTAGACCTCTCCAGACCCACCCGCTGCTCCCCTCAGCAGTGTACTTCATCAACTGCCTGTTCTGCTCCCCACTCTGTCTCTGGTGAATCCTCTCACCGCCCCTGCACCTCTGGCCTGCACCCCAGTTGTGTATGCATAAATAAATAAAACCTTTAAAAAGAATAAACCATAACCGGTATATTACCCTGGACACCAGCATCTCCCTTCTGAGCTTTCCCAGAGAGTCTTTTGCTTGCCCAAGGTCACACTTCATAGTTTGCCAAGCCCACGTTATGGGATGTGGTAAAGCCACATTGGTAGCACTGGAATCACGTTTTTCTAAGGGAAAAGCTAACATTTCAGCCCCTACTTCACATGGAAGGGTGCCAGGAAGGACACTGGGGAGATAGGGCAGGATGTGGGAAAAGCCAGCTGACCCTTCCCTTTAATCTATTGTGATCCAACCGCCACAACTGGATGACTTTGGGGATTTTCATACTCACAGAACAATCAGGAGAAAGCACTTGCCAAATGGAGCAGAACAGCTGTTTCCTGCTTGGCTGTTTCTTGAATGGAATATCTCATTTCATTTTAAGAACATGTTTGAATGTAAGAAGGAACAGAAATGCCACTGTGGCAACAGTTTTTTTCTTCTGGGAAAATAAAAACCGTAATATCCACTGTACACAGTCTTGATTTATTTCATTTTATTAAAGACTATTAACAGAAGAACAGACATTTATTTTTCTCTCAAAAGTTCATTACTATTAATTTACTTCAGTCAATAAAATATGCAATGCACAATAATATTAATGTGACATTACAATCTCATAGCACTTAGCAGGTGCCAGCCACTGTTCTAAATGCTTTTACTTATTTACCTATTTTCTCTTTACAACTCTAGCAAGCAGGTCCTAGTATTTCCTTTTCACAGAAATGGAGTTACAGAGATGTTGACTTAGGGACCCATAAAGAAATCATAAAGCTCGCCAGTGTCAGAGCCAGGGTTTAATCCCAGAGCGTGGGATCCCGAATCTGTGCTCTTAACCATGATGCCATCCTCAGACACTTATTAAAACGCAGGAAGAAAAAAGTTTTGCATTTTCAAACAACTGTTCTCTAATTTCTTGATATATTAAAGTGTAGGTTTGGCCTAATTCTCCTAACATGTGATGTGGGGGATTAGAAAATACTCACTGGTTTACTCTTATGAATGGTTCAAAGCAAAGAACATACTTCATGGGTTTCAAAAAGCTGAAGTCATGAACAATTCTCTCATGGAAATAAGCAGGTGGTTAGTATTTCGAATATCCCTTCTCTACCATGAAAGACATAGCAAGGGGACTGTGTGAAGAACTTCTTCTAGGGAAAAGGAATGAGGCATTAGCTGAGAAAGAAACTGGGAGGAATCTGAGAAGAGCCCAGTGGGAACGGTTTCCACAATTCTCATATTTAACCATGAAATGAAAATTAGGTGCAGGGCTAGGTTTTCATGGCCATAAACAGCTTAGTCAGTGAATTCCAAGGAGTTCACATGTCCTTCTTTCCACTCCCTTGAAAGCTTCACTGTCCAGTAGAGCCGAGAATTATGAACACAGAGTAAACTTGACCACTTATTCAATAATGAATAGAAAATATTAAGAGTTGACTCAGAAGACAGGAAACATGTGAAGCTGCAGAGGGGCACTACAAAGTTTGCAAATGAAACCAAATCTCTAAAACCTAATGATTCTGCTAAATTATTGTGTCTGTGTCTTTTTCCTGTCTCACCTCCCCTTTGTCCAAATCCATCAAGATGCTGGAACCTGCCAATAGCTGGTAGACTTTTTAAAAATATAATTTCTTTAATTATTTATTTAGGCATACAAGATCTGGGGTATAGGCCAGAGGTGGGGGTGGTGAGAGGCTTCACCAGGGACAGAGTGGGGAGCAGAACAGGCAGAGTGATGAAGTACTGAGAGGAGTGCTGACTGAGGAGATCGGTGGGCGAGGCAAGAGAGGTCTGCTGCACCATGTGGGTCAGAGTCACCTCCCTGGTCAGGGATCAAATTGGTGCTGTGGTGGCTGCAGACAGCTTCGTAGTGCTGGGACTTAACTTACCCTTTCACCACCAGAGAGGGCCAACTTGTAGAATTTTTTAAAGCAAAAATTGAAAAGGTATTCTGACTAACACTGAAATGATCAAGACACAAATACCTGACAGAGATACCTTTAATGTTTATTAAATGAACTTGAAAATTAAGATTATTGGAAATTACCCCCATTTCAATGCCATGAAGTATGGTCTATGGTAAAACAAAACATTTCCAGGAATGTCATTTTATTATCTAGTTCTGTATACATCTTTAGCCTATGACATGTCTTTGTCACCGTATCGCACACATTACTATAAAAAATAAAATTCTGACCCAAACTGGATCATGAACATGTAGAAAGGAGGGAGATAAACTCAAAACCAACCAACCAACACTAGTAACCAGTGGTGCTTCTCTTGATTTTTATATCCTTATTTACAAAAGTTAAACCAATTGTCATTATATATACCAGTTAGTAAACATTAGTATTTTACATATTTATGTGCATTCGTAATAATCAAGTAAAAATAAATTTTAAATTATCATTTATAAAAATAGATAAGATGCGACTAATACATACGTTGAGTGCATGTTCCATACTCAGTGCTTTAAAATATTTGGGACAAAGATCCCCAAGATCCCCAAGTAGGTCCTACTAGAAGATGTCAAAAGTGAATGAGACAGGGGCTCACTCTCCCTGGGTGCAATGGGATAAAGCACTGCTTATGAAGCTCTCCAAAGCCACTGCGGCACAATTCAATCCCCAGTGAGGGAGCTGACCTACATGGCACAGCAGACCTCTCCTGACCCGCCCGCTGCTCCCCTCAGCAGTGTACTTTGTCAGTCAACCTGTTCTGCTCCCCGCTCTGTCTCTGGTGAATCCTCTCACACACACTCCCCCACACACACCTCTGGCCTGTACCCCAATTCTGTAAGCATAAATAAATAAATCTTTTTAGAAAAAGTGAATGAGATAAGAAAACAGTAAGTGTTAAATGCAATTTTAAAAAGCAGGGAAGAAAGAAGATAAATACCTCAGCAGGAATCACTTAGAATAAACCAGATGAAGAACCCCAAGTGAAATACATCCACTTTCCCGAGGTTGATTTCCCTGAAAATGAAAAAGAGCTTTCAGGACAGGGTAAGTGCATTTAAGTTTTGATAGTGAGTTCACTCGATCAGTTCATGCAGAAGTGACTTTTTCTTAGAATCTTCACGAGGAACCATGTCTTGGACATCTACCCTAAGGTGAACCACCAAGCCCACCTAGCGGGTCTTCCATCAAGAGGTCATGGGCTCCGCGTGAGCTGACACACCTGCGTAGGCCTCTGCCTTCGCTGAAGACGCCGACGGCATCAGCATCTTCCCAAGAATGAGGAGGCTGGAATTCTTACTCCGGTTGTCCCTCTGCTTTCCCAAGGCTGAGCTCTACAGGGACTGGGGCACACACCGAGGTCTACACACCGCATCTACAGAGCGCCCCCAAATCGTTCCTGTGTGTTCCCCAGCCCTTTCTCCACCGGTAGAAGGCAGTGGGTGGCGCCCTGGGTCACCTGTTATTTGAGGCAGGGGCAACAGAAGCAGCAGATGGTCCGGCAGGGGTTCTTCTTCCGGTACTGCACCGCTTTGCGCACGTGCGCCTTGGCCTGCCCCGTGTAATCCAGGGTCTGACTGACGTTGACCTCGATGACATTCAGGGTGTCGGCCTGCTCCTCCACCAGCACCGCCATCTGCAGGAAGAGCTCGTGCACGTCCCGGATGCGGCTCTCCAGCCGCAGCAGCTCTCGGTGGCGGCTCTCGATCTCGGACAGCGCCGCGCGCGCGCCCTTCACGTCGGCCAGCAGGTTTCCCGAGAACACATCCCACTTGCCCTGCTCGAACATGTCCTCGATCTGGTCGCCCGAGACTTCATGGCCCATGATCTCCAGCTGGCGCTGGATGCGGATCTTGCAGTTGTCGCGCTGCTTCATCTCCGCCTGGTTGTACTCGTGCATGGCGCGCTGGAAGGTGCGGGTGAGCGCGCTGTATTGCGCGCGGGAGATGCGCGCCAAGGCCGAGTGCTCGCCGTGCTGGGCCTCCGCCTTCTCGCTGAGCTCCTTCATGGCGCGCAGCTTGCGGTGGATGCCCTCGCCCCGGGCCTTGATGTCCTTGGCGATCGAGTTGGTGTCGCGCTTGATGCTGCTGAGGCGCCGCATGGACGTGAGGAAGCGGACATTCTGCTTGCCCAGCCGCTTCACATCGATGAGCAGCAACTGGTTTTCACACTGCAGGTCCTGGATGTCCCGGTACAAGGACTCCAGCAGGTGGTCCGTCTCGAAGACGATGTGCTCTTGCGGTGAGTCCAGCTCATCCTCCCCGTCCGGGGAATGCTGGTCCGGGGAATGCTGGTCGTAGTGCCTGCTTAACTCCAGCAGCTCCGAGAGCCGGTCCTTCATTTTGCCTGCAAGGACAGATACTAAGGTCACATTCCTCTAGTGAGCGTCAGTGCTTGGCAGCGAGGGTAGTGAAGCCCACAGAAGCCTTCTGCTCTGCGACTCCAATTTTTTAATTCTTGGGTGTAAGTAATAAAGTGCTAAGGGTGCTAAATGCTTTATGACATTTTGGTTGTTCGTGAAGAATTCAGGTGAGTGAGCGCCACTGCCACCGTTGTGTTTCATGGCTTGTAGCCATCCGAAGGTCAATTATGCTAGCACCCAGAACTCAATCAGCAATTTAAACGTTTAGAGTGTATTGAAGACCAATCTCTTTTTCTTGCTTTATGTTGTCCAGTAATCACAAAAGAATACGGACACGGACAAGGAAAAATGGAAGTAAAGACTCGCAAAGGTAGAGATGTAAACCGACGACCATTTATATAAGCGGCGGGGGCTAAGTTCTCTGCGAGTCACTTCCAACACAGCTGAGCATCCGAGTCTTGTACATCACAACGCTTCTTAAAGTCGCTACTATACAAGTCATGCTCTAATTTTTTTCTCTTCAATGTGTTCTACAAGTAAAGCATGTTTGAGGCAAAGCAACAAAATAAAGTCCAAAAATCTGACAAAGGATGAAATTAGAAGTAGATGTGCCCTTGCTGAAGTCTGCCCAATATCGCTAGTATGTATTTCCAGTTGAGTGCAACACTATGATTAAAAATAGTTTGGATAGAGCCCTAAGTATGTTCTGGTGAAAGATATTAAAAGTGAAAGAGACAAAGAAACAGGTGTTCAATGTGATTTTGGTAGACAGAGATGAGCAGGAAGATGAAGAACAGCTACACGGGACTCAAGCCAGATGAAGAGTTAGAAGTAAATGGTAGACGGTTTACCCTGCTTAAAATGCCACCTCTGCTACCTGGGGACAAACATCAATACTAAGTGCTCTCAACTCTGGAGAAGTTGTCTCTCCTGGAACAGGATAGAGAGTTAGAAAAAAAGATGCAGCTCCTGGCCTGAATAGCAGATATCCAAGTATTTCTTCACTTTGAATAAAATATAAAAGACAACCCCAAAATTAGAAGGACATTGCAATATGAGCCACATGATAGGTTAACATGCCTAAGATATTAAAAGCTGTCACCAAAACACACACACACACAAACAAAGCCAAAACCACTTCCCCAAGCAAAGGCAATGAAATAGTGAATTCACAGAAGAAATACAAACCCTAGAGAAGAGAGCAGTAGCTTAGACGAGCGAGGTGCTTCCAACATTGCCTCAGTACTTTCTACCACATATCCTGTGAGGCTACTTTAATCTTCATGTGGCCTCAGTGACAGTCAAGATCGGGCTGCTCACATGAGCACGGGAGAATAAGGAACTTACTTGAGGTCATCAGTTAGTGAAAATTAGGCTCCACTAGCCCCAACCTGAACACTCACACCACTCTGCTTCAGCAAATGTATCAAAGACAGTCAGGAAGCCGCACTATTAAACAAAAAAATGCAAATGAAAGCATGAAGATTTTTTGGCCCACCAAGTAGGCAGGACTTTAAAAAAAAATTATTTTTACTAAGTTGGTGAGGATTCTGGGAACTCTGAGAAAAAAAAACAAACCCACTGTCCGAGAAAAACTAGAACCTTTCTGAAGAGCCGTTTAGCAATGTGCATCAAAGGCTTTTACAATGTGTGTTTGTCTTGCTCTATAGCCATTTATTTTAAGGATTATGTGAAACACCTTGCTGTAAATATTTTCATCACCACGTTGTTTTTATAGAAAGTTAAAATTAAGTTAATGAGCAATAATGAGGCACCAGCTGCTACATAACCCCAGAATGCTGAAGGCCTGCTAATGGTATAAAAAGTTGAAATGCCAGCTTGGGTAGAAAAAGTAGGTAATGAAAGTGGGATGAACAACATTACTATCCATATCCTGAAGCAAAGCCTTGAATTATTCACATCACAATGTTATTAGTAGTCTTCTTTGAATTGTGGGATTATAGTTTTAATTGCTTTCTTATTATTGTCTTTATTTTCAAAACCTTTTATGACATCCATCCATGGAGATTTTACAATTAAATAAAGCCCCACAAACTGTGTATATTATTTGTTTAAAGGACGAACTCCTTAAGGTCTTTAAGACATATGCATGACAAACAGCTTAACACCCTATACACCTTAGAGCGAGAACACTGGCTAGCTGGCAGGGAGTTGAGTTGGTATGGCAGAGCATGGATTATCTGTCAGCACCCAATATATTCTACTATGCAAAAGGAGGATGGGACAGAGGATGGATATGTTTCAATGAACAAGCCAAAAGTAGGTGAACGGTGCCTTCCACGCCTCTTGACCAAGAATGAGCAGGCACTAGAGCGCAAGGAAATAAGGCAGCACAACCCTGTGGGCAAGCTGTTGGCCTCTGGCTCATCCTGACAGGTCCCATGCCTGGTATTGCTTTCCTAAAGCCAGAAAAAAGCTATTTGTGGTTCATCTCAGTCATAACAAGAAAAACCCACTTCACTCATGTAGAAAAGGGACTTGGAAGATGACGTTTAGATTACTCATTCCTTCTCAAGACCTAACTGGGTCCTCAAGCAGAAGACCTGACCCCCTCTGAAGGCTCAAGTCCATAATCTGGGAAGGACAGAGAAAGGAGTGGTGTAAGGATTTAAAGGCTCTCTGTGGAGCAGCACACAAGAAGGTGGCCTGTGCCTCGCCTTCCTGCCCAGAGGCAGATGAACTGGTCCCACTAACCCAGAAGGTGCCCTGGTTGCAGGAAGCCAGCATTTGGAAAATTACATTTGAGAGTTAACTAGAAGACTCCTATTTCTGGGACATTCTCCCTTGCTGTAATTACAACAAAATATAGAAGTAGGCACAGAGAAAACATCAAAATAACCTACAGCCAAAGTACCTTGATTCTATACTAGACTCAAAAAAGAAAACTACGGTGAGAAAAAAAAAAGTAATTTTGCTTACCTTCCCGTCTCATTGTGATAGGCCATAAACTTCAGTAAATTGTATTCGTAAAACTTAAAATAAATCCTGATTCCCAAGGAGATGAAAAATTCAAAGAAAATTGACAGCCAACTGCTAGACCACCAACTGCTTCTACTTTCTAGCTTTCTTCTCAGGCACACACATTCTCTCCTGAGAACTCACAGAGAAGGGGAAGTTGCGAAGGGTTTCTTTCTTTGGGCAATAAGAGTTTATGTAAGAGAAAATAAAGGAACAGAGAATGATAGTAGCTCAGTAGTTCTCAAAGTTTAGGAGACAATAGAAACTTCTGGAGATCTATAAATGGTATGGCGTTTCTGATATATAGGTCTAAGATGAGTTCCAGGTGATTCTGATAAACATTCAAATTTGTGAACCATTCCGAGAGGTCTGCTGCGCCATGTGGGTCACCTCCGGGGCCTGGGATTGAACTTGCACCAAGGTGGCTGCAGCAGCTTGCAGTGCTGCGTCCCAATCCATTGTGTCACGAGGGAGAGCCCCATACTATCTTTTTATTCATGCAACTTATAATAGTCCTCAGGTTGGGGCAATCTTGATGAGCTAAAATTTACTAGGGAGGAAGGTAGTAGCTACTGGTCTCTCTACACATTGGAACTCTATCAGCTTCCAAAATCATGTTGTCCACAGTTGGCAGAAAGGCCAGTTGTCTAGAAGAGAGGTAATAAATCAAGATTAACTAAAAACTCCCTCTCGATCTAGTGAAGCAGGCATAAAACAAATTACGAAGTCCATAGAACAAAGTGACCAAGAATGTTAGTGAGAATCAATTCTCTTTCAATTTAGGATGGACATAATTATAGGAGTATGAGCATCACTTTGTTATTATAAGACACCTTCAGGTATATAAATAAATTCTTAGCAGTATTCGTGGTGGGAAATGAAGGATGGAATACTCCTATTAATTCAGCATGCTGTTCACTGGGACCTGGAGCCCACTGTTGAGAACTTAATGTATTTGACACAGAAACCCTTGACATTTTCTGTCCTACTAGAAAGATTCAGAAGGCAGGCTGTACCTGCTTCAGAAGGTCCATGCGTGGGATGAGAACTACACAAGTAACATACACACTGAGCGCTGGCTACAAAGAACCACCACCAAAGCTACTGTACCTTACTTGCATCTTAGAGGATCAGTTGTGAACACAATGCTATTGTACCTCTGGTCAAAAAGTGAGGCTTTGTGCCTACTTGTTCTAAGGGGCACCAGGAAAAACGTTGTTCATACATTGTTATGTGCTGCGTTGAATAACTGCCTCCCACCCCAGTGACCTCAGAACATAATCTTATTTGGAGATAAGGTCTTTTTAAAAGAGGTAAAACAAAACAGGGGCCATCCATGGTGGTGCATCAGGTTAAAGTCAGCACTATGAAGCTATCTGCAGCCACTGCAGCACAAGTTCGGTCCCAGGCCACGGAGCTGACCCACATGACACAGCAGATCTTGCCTGTCTTGCCCACTGCTCCCCTCAGCAGTGAATTGCAGTCAATCTCCTGTTCTGCTCCCCACTCTGTCTCTGGTGAATCCTCTCACTTCCCTCTCCCCACACACCTCTGGCCTATGCCCCAGCTCTTGTATGCATAAGTGTTCAATAAAAAATAAAAGAGGTAAAATAGCTCAAGGAAGACTTTACATAATACCTACAGTAGTATATACAAAGCGATACATACATCAAACAAATTTTGCTCATCAACCAGGAAACAAAACCATTCCCTGTTTAACAAAAATAAGTTAAAGCACTTAAACACACAGTGAGAAACTTCAGACTACTCAGCAAGGCACACACAGTGGAAGGTTTATTTTTGAGGTCACCGTGGAGTTTACAGAGGGGAGCGAATCCAAAGGCATGGAAGGGCCTTCCTTTCTGTATTTATGGAAAAGAAAACAAAACCCAGAGTTTAGAAGTTTTGAGCCCCTGCTTCACTAGGGGCTGAAGTACATATTTGCACACACAGGCTTTGCCTACAATTTTCTGCTTGTTTGGTGTACACTCCAAATGGGACTTTG